AATACAGATTTARACACTGTTTGATCATGAAAATTGAAGGTATTTTAGCACAAGAATGAAGTCTTATCCTTGTCATATATTCATGTAACATTGKCTGTAAATTCTGTCTATATCAAGTGCATCACAATTAAGTGTCTTTGTGCTCTACACAATATGATTTACCCCTCTTGGCTTTTGCACTCTTGAAGGTTCCATCTAACAGAAGCTGCCCCTGGAAGCACATGGAAGCCACTCAGGACCCAGCAGGCTGCAGGGAACTGCCTGGAAGTGTGCAGGGGGTTTGGCTGCCGAGGTGTTTTGTTTCCTGCAGTAATTCAGTGGTTACACATGCCTGTTGTTGTGCATTCCTGTGTAATTGATTTCAAGGTCACTTCCTAGAAAACCTGCCAAGGAGAAACAGGAGTAGCTGTTACAAAGATCCTGCCTGTTGGCCGTGTCCTGTGGGTCCTGTAGGAACCTGCACTGACACAGCTCTTAAACTGGAGGGGCAGGAACCCTGTCAGGATCTCTGACACCCTGGAACTGGGAATGTGCAAAACTTGCAGGGGAAGGGGCTGAGCAGGTGGAAGAGGGGGGTTGTAGAGGAGGGTCATTTCCTCTTCTCTCTGTGGCTGTGAGGCTTTAGAATGTCACTTTTGGGGTTTGACACTTGTGGTTTGGTATAATTTGTTCTTGTTTGGCGTCTGGATGACCTTCAGGGCAATTTCTTCTCGCAGATGCAGGGTTTGTGCTGGTGGTTATTTTTTCAAGTGTGGCATTTTGCATTGTTCTCAAACTCTTTCTCACAAGCTGATTTTTACTTACCAGCACTGGTCCCATAATCCTGTTGGGATGGATATTTACCAGACYGGGTAACAGATGAGTCTGTAAAGTCACACACATTTCTCAGGGGTCACAGGGCAAAACCGGGTCAGAGCAGTCTGCTGATTTCAGTCAGCCATATCAGTATTAATTATTGCTCTGGTGATTGATCTTTTTCAGCTTCAGTGTCACTAAGAGGTCTCTGCTGGGATGCAGAGGTGCAGTAACCAGTTGGAAATACCCTTATCCCGGTTTGGGCTCCCTTCAGTGTGAAAGGAATATCTGACACTACTAAACCTTTGAGCTCTTTGACTTTCCTGCATGTTTTAATTTTCCAGTTAGAAATTGTTTAACTTGTAATTTTTTTTTTTTATTTAATTTCTTCTTTGTTGATTTCTTCATTCCAATGGTTTGTAGCTGAGTAATTATTTCTTCTTTACATTCTGATGCACCCAAAAATAATTGGCTATGGTTCTAAGCAAAATATCTTGATGAGTTCAAACAGATTTCAAATACCTGTCTTCTCTCAACCGTCTTGTGAAATTTAATGTGTAATTYCAATTTCAGGAGTGCAGAAATTTAAATGACACTTTGAATTGTTGGTCCCAGCCCAGTACAGCAAAAGCATTGAATTTTGCAACAATTCTTTTGTTGTCAGAAATCTGTGGAAAACCACCTTTATTTGGGGAAGGACACTGGTGGACCTGAGCCAGCACCTCTTGGGAAATGGTTGGTTTGGGTATGAGGTGTTAATCCCAGTGGGGTTTACAGGAAAAGAGGGAGTGGCTTCATGGCACCATTATTTTATATTTTTACAYATRTTTGATCCTGTTGGAAACTTCAGTCATCACAGTGTCTGTCTGAAGTGCAGACCCACAACAGTGCTTTAACACACAGTGGTGGCAAAGCACTGCTATAGTTCCTTCTGGGAAAGGAGAGGCTCAGGAGGGAGAGACAAATCACAGTTCCTGTATCCAGAGTCCCACAGAAAGGAACTGAAAGAGCAGCTGCAGGCAGCYAAAGCATTTAAACAATTAATACTAAATATTCTGTGCCCTTTTTCTGGGATGTTCAGTTGCCCACCTTGGACTCTGCAGAAGCCCAGAGGAGGAGACATAACAGCAACTCTGGTGATGGCTTGAAAAAAAATGGGTATTTTTCTGTCTCTATAATTTCCCTCAGTTTCCCTGTTGGAGCAGCAATGGACTGTTGCATACAGATAGTGATTTTGATAAGAGGGTGCACAGGTGGGCTGCTCTCCTGCTTGGCTCARAGTCTGCAGCAATGGAAAGTCTGGGTGCTCAGAGAACAGCTTTGCTGTGACTGCAGCATGGGGCTTCAGCTGTCCTTCATGTGATCTCAGGCATCTTCCCTGTGTATTTTTAGAGCTGTTGTGCAAAGAAGATTAGCAAAGGACTTAATATCGATGTGGATATGGATTCTTTCTCAAATATGGCAATGTTCCCCTGTTTAGGCGCTGGGTTTGGGCTGGTGTCACAGTTATATCACCAGGCTGTGCACTGCCATGTGCCTCTGCCCTGGACTCTGCCTGCTCCAGATGTTTAGCTGACTGAGAGAGTGGCTGCACTCTCAGCCCTGGTCTCAGTTTTGCTGAATCTAATGACAGTTTATTAGGGAGCTTCTCTCCAGCTGGATCAAGTCCATACTTAGTGGAGAAGGAAACAGCTGTGAGCTGAGATCCAGKGGCTTTCTCTTCAGATGAGGGCCACAGGCATCTGGATTCAGTGGTGGTTTCAGACTGGTTTAAGAGGTCTCTCAGTGCTGAGGGGGCACTTACAGGTGAAGCTGTTCAACTGATGCCTTTGGTGGGTCCTGGTCCCACTAGAACAGTTCTGGTTTCTCTGAAAATTCTCTCACATGTTCCTGGCACAGCTACACCCCTGAAAGAGAAGATTCATAGAATAGTTTGGATGGGAAGGGAACTTAAAGCTCATCTTGTTCCACACCATGCCATGGTCAGGGACACCTTCCACTATCCCAGGCTGCTCCAAGCCCTGTCCAGCCTGGCCTTGGGCACTGCCAGGGATCCAGGGGCAGCCACAGCTTCTCTGGGCACCCTATGCCAGGGCCTCCCCACCCTCTCAGGAAAGAATTTCTTCCTAAAATCTGATTTAAATGGGTCCTTTTTTAGTTTAAGACCATTTCCCATTGTCCTATCAAACTGTCCACCCTTGCTGTGTAGTTAATTGGGGCAGCCTTCTTTCAGTGACACTTCTTGCTATTTTATTAAAGGCACAAATATGGAGTGACATGGAGCAAAAAGCTMAAAAATAGTTGCTAAATATTCTGGTATCTCAGCAGYCTGTGRAGGTGTTCTCAGCACTCACTGCCTSATCACTGGGACTCCAGTAGCTCAGAATGGGTGGCCTGAAGAAACACTTGTTTGTGTGTGCTGGAACAGAAGAGACAGCAAGGTGAAGGCTTTGGCCTCAGGATAGCCCTGGATGGTGGTTTGGAATCTGGAGGGTTAGGAGGGGGCAGGTGGGGGCACAAATAGGAAATGTTAACTCTGCCTGAGCTGATRAATGTGTTGGCAAGGGCAGGGGAGAGAGCAGGTACTGAGGGGTGCAGCCCTACTGCCTTGTGGCCCTGGAGGAAAGGGCATGGAGCCAGGAGAGAATAGCTGGAAGTGTTGTATGGCAATGCCTGATACAGAACCACRAACTCCCATCACAGCAAATTAAGCTGCTCAAAGCAGTGAGTGTGCTTCTTGTGGCTGGAGCCAGCTGGATCCATGTTGGAAACAGGCACTCACCGTAGGAATTTTGGATTTATCTAAACTGGTTTCATTAGTCCTGTGATGAGGAGTGAAAAGCACAGGTGGAGGAATACAGGAAGGGTTCTCTGAGAAGTGTGGCAAAGCAAGAAGGACGTGTCTGAGGGATGGGGAGAGCAGGGATTCAAACCTGCATGCTTTGTTCTGGCCAGTACTCCAACTGGCAGCTGCCTGCACTTCCCTCCTGATACGGCAGCAACACGATAATCTGAAATAACTTCTTTCCCATCCAGAGGTCCGGGCGCAGGAGATCTGGAATGTGTCCTTAAGTGCCTGGGCTATTTTGGGAGCAGGGGACATGAATCTGTGCAGGGGCATCCAGACTCTGCATTGCTGTGGTAAAGGGGAACACGGTGCTGACAGCCCGGCCCAGCTCGAGCATCAGCGCATCAATGTTTGCTTTTGGGGYAGAGAACTCGGGAATATTTTCATTTTTCTCTGCTGTATGAAATGGTGGTGTCTTTTGGAAGATGGGAAGATGGCAGCAGTTCCTAGAGGAATTGCCTTGGAATGATGGCAAAATAATCTTATGACGAAAATACAGAGCAATGAGAGTCCAGTGGATACAGAGMACAGGTTTTCATCCTGGAACAGCCTGTGCAGCAACCACATATTTACAACATCAACACAACATGCTACAGGTTCGTCAGAAATCCAAGGAAAACATTCCATCCTGTGAACATCTAGGAATATAATAATAAGTGGAGAAGCTAGAGAAGGAGCAGCAACAGTAGGTAGTTTGTGTGACTTAGCTTTGCTGCAAGTGCCAGGGAAAACTGGGTTTCTGCTAGAGCTGGTAAAGAAGCTTTGGAGAAAGGGCTTTTCAGAGGGGTATGCTAATTAGAGCAGGGGAGATTTCAGAACCAGGACAGAGTYGTTTCAGAAATGGATAAATTGAGGCAAAGTGAGTAGCCAATAACTGGTGGACTTACCTTTGGTAGTTTAGGRCAACTAGAACTGTTTGACACATCAACTTTTAGGGCACAAGAGTATTAAATATTTTTAATAGCTTCTTCATACAGACAATATTGACCTAGAGTTTACAAAATTCAGGTCTTTAGTGAGCAGAAATCAGCAGACCTGTGTTTGCTTTTGCTGGTTAGGAGCTTCCTGATGCTGAAGTTATGAATCCCTTCCTGGTATTCTTCAACAACAGGATTCTKTTTCTACTTCACATGTGAAGGAAAAGTTATGTTAGGACATGCTTGGCTTGTGACTGATGTGGTGCTGTCCCTGCTTGTAACTACTCTGCTTTAACTTCACCTCTGAGAAAACTGGGGCCAGCACTGGGGTTCAGGGGCCTCTGTTTTGTTGGGCTTTCACTGTAAGGGAATTCATTAATTTAGAAAGAGTTAAAATTGATTTACCCAKAAGCTGAAATTTACTTTGTTTTCATTTCTAGGCCTATGAGAAGCGCTTTCCTACGTGCCCAGAGATCCCAGTCTTCCTGGGGAGTGAAATCCTGCACGAATCCAGGAGTGAGGACGGAGCCATCCATGTGATTGAGCGGAGCTGCAAGCTCAATGTGGACGCACCAAGGCTGCTGAAGAAGGCATGTGGAACCTTGGGAGGAGAGACCTGGATTGTATTGGCTAGCTCAGATAGAGAAAGGCTCCTAAAGTTACTCTTTTCCCTCTGTGTTTCTSCTCTTCTCCTCAGATTGCAGGGGTAGAGTATGTCTTCTTCATCCAGAAGAACACTGTGAACTGGAGAGAGAGAACCCTCCGCATCGAAGCCCACAATGAGACCTTTGCCAACCGTGTGGTGGTCAGGGAGACCTGCAGCTACTCAGTGAGAGCTCTGCTTGGGCTGCTGTGCTGGGAGGGGTGGGAACTAGGCACTCACACACAGGGGGGAGGTGCTTGAATGGATTTGGGCACTTCTACAACACTGGACTGGGATTAGAGACTTTGGGCTGTGTTGGATCCTGGGTGTGGGCTTGGTTCTTTGCTTTGGAGAGGGACAGGAAGGGTCTGGAGAGACAGATCAATGGGGAATGGCTTCACACAGACAAACTGGATATTGGGAAGGAATTGTTCCCTGTGAGGGTGGGGAGGCCCTGGCACAGGGTGCCCAGAGAAGCTGTGGCTGCCCCTGGACCCCTGGCAGTGTCCAAGGCCAGGCTGGACAYTGGGGATTGGAGCAGCCTGGGATAATGGAAGGTGTCCCTGCCCATGGCAGGGGTGGGATGAGATGTGCTTTGTCCTTCCAACCTAAACCATTCTGGGATTTCATGATTTTGTAGGACTTGAGTAACTTCTTTAGGCTAATTGTGCTTCTGTGATTGGAGAGAAAGTAAAAAACAGAGTTGATGCTCCAGAGCTTCTAGGGTTCCCTGAGGTTTTTTGGTTAAAATTCAAGTTGCCCAAGCTCTAGATGCTTTTGTTACATATATATATATCTGGATATTTAGAATGAAACCCTTCCTACTCATTATGATGAGGCCCTGAGGGAAATCTGGAATTCATTTTGCCCCTAAAGTAAGTGAAAGTTGTAGCACCTTGTTTGTCATTATCTTCRTGCTGTAAAGATTTGGAGAAATTTGAGCCTTATTTGTGGCCTGGGCTGTCTTCTTTTGTGGCTGTTTCTGTGCTGTTTTCATTGTTAAGGTGCTCTTAGGCCCAGTCACCATGGAATAGCTKCAGCTGTTTCTGGAAGCAATCAGAYCCTGCTTGTTCCTTACCYAAAATCCAGATCCTSTGACTTACCTGCCCTTTTGGCAACTGGACAGCAGCTCAGCTTCTTGGGAGTAGGCAGGCTGTAAGGAGCTTCAGGCCAGAGGAGGACTGAAAAGCTGTGAGCATTTTAGGTGGTGACGGTGTTCCTGAGCCAGAGATCCCTTGCTGGCTGCATGAAGCTTCCTAAAAACTGCAGTAAATCAGACTTCCATCATTGTCAAAGGCACTGACAGGTCTGAAATGCTCCCAGGTCAGCTCTGAGCTTGCTACACTTGCTGATTTTGGCTGTGTCCTTAGGAAGGAAACGTCAATATCTGGGCTTTGAGGGGAACAGGGTGGGAGCTGCTGGCTGCATCCTCAAGATGGTTCCCTGCTCTATTTTTACCAGTTCCCTTTTCCCTGCCAGAGTGCACCGGAAGCAGGTTTATTCTCATCTTTCCTTTTCTGTAGTGTTCTCTGAGGCGACTTGGAGAAAAATGATCCTGCTCCTGCAGTTACTTAATATCTCCCCAAGGAATTTGTCCTTTATGGCATCTTTGTGGGGGGGCTGTTTTTCTTTTCTGTCAGTTTGTGAACAGCAGCACCTACAGAGAGAAGGCAGAGCCTTCTCAGGAAAGGGTTAAGTTTAACAAAGGGAAAGATTTTACCATATGTAGAGTAACCGAGGGGAAATAAGGGAAAGGTGTGTGTTGAGCTGACAGTGGGAAAACTCCCTGCTCTGCCACACCTCCAGTCTTTGGGGGAGAAGGCTGASATTAGTGGCTGAGTCTCCAATCCAAAACTAAAACGGAAACCTGGTTTGCATTTTTCTCCTTTGCAGGTGTAGGAGTTTTAATTGCATGTTCCACAAGGCCATCCCTGTCTTTCCATAAAGAGATCTTGACATACTGGTTTGAAGTGGGCAGTTTCACTGCTATTTTAGTGCAACTTTTGCTTCTACTCTTCAGATCTGCTGGGGGAGAGATGGGTTTAAATCTTGATTTCCTTGTGCATGTGAAGAATKTTGGGTTAACCAAAGTCTGGATGTCCAGTTCATTATGAGTTTCTGCTGCTCTGGGACAGTGAATCTGGCTGGTCAGTCCAGGTCTGGCAGGGCCTCCTCACCCCCCTGAGTCTGTAGCTCTGGGTGGTGCCAGGGCCATTCCATGAGCCACCTGCCACCATCCCACCCTGTGTGTTCCCCTGGTTCTAGGTTCACCCTGAGAATGAGGAGTGGACGTGCTTTGAGCAGTCGGCGTCTCTTGACATCAAATCCTTTTTTGGCTTTGAAAGCACAGTGGAAAAAATCGCCATGAAGCAGTACACCTCCAACATCAAACGGGTAAGGAGGGCTTCCCTGGCTGCCACAACACCCCAAACCCTCAATCTGCCTTTCTGTAAATAGACCTAGCATGGTTTTGTGTCCTTGCTTATGGCTCTGCAATCCCTCAGYTGGGTGAAGGAAGAAGCAGCCAGTGTGCAGAGAGCACAGAACAATCTGCTGGCGGGAGTGTGTCTGTGCAGGGATGGAGCAGGCTGTGTCAGAGCAGGATTGCAGTGGATGCTCTGGGTGCCAGGCTCCTCGGACACTGAGGACACTGTTCTTGTGCAGGAAGAGAAAGTTCTGAGTGAAAATCAGTGCCCTGTGTCCCCAGAGCTTGGGATGGGTAGTGGGCTGTTCCCCTGGGCTGCAGAGGAACTGGCAGCTCATTGGGTTTGGGAGCAGGGGGGTGGGATAAAGTGTTGCAAAGGCAGCTGCATCTGTAGACTGGGATTTGCCTGGCCATTATTGTAATTCATCAKTCACAGGAGTCTTCCATACTTCTCATACAAGGTTTTCAGCAGGATCMTGGGGATGGAAGGAGAGATTTCCCTTCTGTTTACCTCTAACAGCATTAGTCATCTGTCCTGAGGAAACTCCTGCAYCTTGCTGGCTCTGGAGGAGGCTTTTAGCTGATGAGAGTTCTCCCCTGCAGGGCAAGGAGGTGATTGAGCACTACCTGAAGGAGCTGATCTCCCAAGGGATCACGTTCATCCCGCGCTGGAGCCCKCCCGCAACCAAGGACGAGCAAGCCCCGGCTGTGGGACGTGACCCTGGTGACATCCTGCTGGATTCTGGGGCTCCTGGCACCAGCAGGGAGCAGGCTGCCAGCCCCTGCCCTCCCCCAGAAGCTGCTAGCCCKGACGGTAGGCACTGCCCAGGCAGCAGCAGAGGCGGTAGCACTGACCAAAGGGCTTATTTTCATTTCTCTTGGCATCGGGTTTTTCATCTGGAGTGTGGGGGAGGAGGAGGGAAAGCTATTTTCTTTTTTCAAGAAAGACAAACAATGGAACATTTATTTCACTAAAACAAAAAAGCTRTGCAGGCAGTATGGAGCTTTTCAGTTTTGGACCTTAGAAAAAAAATTAGGTTTGATCAGTCCTTTAATGTATTTTATACTTTAAACTGGAGAAGCTTAAAGGTGTCTTCAGGATGCTGGAATTAAATATTTTCTCTACTCCAAAATTAATACTTTTTGGGACAGGTTTGGATGGTTTTTGCCCCTCTATCAGGCCAAGACAAACTTGTGGAATGTCTCCTTATGGACTTTTCCCACCAAATGCCTGAATCAAACTTATCTTTCTTTCCCTGTGTTGGTCTGATGATATCTTTAGACTAAACAAAATACTTCTCTGGCAAAAAGGAATTGTAGGGACCTTTGAATCTAGAGCTGTAATAGAAACAGTTGTCATTCCTGAGGAGGAAAGGCAGCACTTGTTTTGCTGAGTGTAACTAGGGAAAAAGCTTGGAATTTGGAAATATCAGTAGTTCTGGTCTCACCTGATCTTCTCTGGGAACTTTTCTGAAAAAGGATGGGAATCCACACAGAAGCTGACTGTGAGAAATGTTTGAGATTCAAGCGAACCTCAGRGTGGTGGGTCCCATTTAGCAGAAGAGGAGAGTAGCCCTTGTTTTTGTGCCCATATTCCTGTTTAGGAGGGGWATTAGCTTCCCTGGGCCTGCTCCCCACCTTGCTGGCTCTGTGGGTTCCATGGGCTGTCTCACTTCCAAATACAATTTCTGTATTACCCTGCTTGTCCTGGGGGTGCCCAGGCCTCATTCAGTAGGGAACAGCATCTGCTGAAAACCTTATGCCTGACAAGGTGTGGCACAAACTGTGAGGTGTCCCCAGCCCTGCTCCCTGTGTCCTCCAGCCAAGCTGCTGTCTGTGCCACTCCCCACTGCTGGCAGCTGCCACCCCAGCCCCGGGTGGCACATCCCCCTGTCCCTCAGAGCTGGCAGTCGCCAACCCTTGTCCTTTATCCCTGAGCTGGAAGGCCCTGGAGCTGCTAGTGTGCTCAGGGCTCCTCCCCCTGCCAGAAGCCTCCCTTGCTGTCAGAAATGTGCTGCTGTTCTCCCTTTCTCTCTGGTGTCCCTGGCCAGAATAATGGCTTGGTTTTCCAGCRAGCCTCTTGTCACTGCAGTTGTGCATGAGATTTGGGACACACAGGGATGGAAGGGTCCAGGTTTTGGAGTGAGTGCCAGGGCTCATGCTGTATCTTCTAAAGCTCCTGCTGGACCAGTCCTGGGCTGAATGGAATATTTGTAGTGTCAGAGCCAGGTGGAGTGATCCACTTGTGATACAGCATCTGCTGCCTGTGGCCTCATGCCCCCATCACCAGGAGAGGGTCCCACCCTGCCTGCCTCCATCCATCCCTTCTTCCCTCCCTCCATCCGTCCGTCCATCCATCCATCCATCCATCCATCCATCCATCCATCCATCCATCCATCCATCCATCCATCCATCCCTCCCTCAGGCAGCTGGAATGAGGCTTCTGAGCATTTCCCCTGTACATCATAGGGAATCTGATGTGCAGAAATAACTGCTCATTTCCCTGCTGGCTGTGCCAGTCTCCCCTGAGTTGCTGTTTCCTCCCTGCAGCTGATAAACTGGACACCGACTACATCGAGCGCTACCTGGGCCAGCTCACCCCGATGCAGGAGAGCTGCCTGATCCGCCTGCGCCAGTGGCTCCAGGAGACTCACAAGGGAAAGGTGGGTAGGGCAGGCCCAGAGGGACATCCAGGGCCACCTGCACCAGGGGTGGGGAACCATGGGTGCACAGACACACTGCAGAGTGAGAGGCTGAAGGGTGATGCTGCAGGAAAAGACACCTGGGGGTCCTGGCTGATGTTGAGCTGAAYCTGAGTCAGCCCTGGCAGCCCAAAGGGTCACTGTGTCCTGGGGACATCGAGGGAAGGGATTGTCCTCTGCTCTGTACCAGAGTGGCCTCACCCAGAGCCCCGGACACCACAGTATCAGACGTACCAAAAGCTGTTAGAGAGTGTCCAAAGGAGAGACATGAGGATGGGGGAGGGTCTGGAGGGGAAGCCACAGGAGGAACAGCTGAGGGCACTTGACCTGTTCAGCCAGAGGAGAGGAGATGGAGCACAGAGCTCAATGGGGGCTGCAGTTTCATCCTGAGGGGCAGAGGATGGGCAGCTCCGATCTCTGCTCTGTGTCCAGGGACAGGACCAGGGAATGGCTGGAGCTGTGCTAGGGCAGGGTCAGGCTGGAGATCAGGGAAAGGTTCTTCTGTCCCCAGAGGGTGCTGGCACTGCCCAGGCTCCCCAGGGAACGGGCACAGCCCTGAGGCTGCCACAGCTCCAGGAGCGTTTGGGCAGCGCTGCCAGGGATGCAGAGGGTGGGATTGTTGGGGTGACTGTGCAGGGCCAGGGGTTGTATCAATGATCCTTGAGGGTCCCTTCCAGCACAAGGAAATGCTGTGGTTCTCTGATTTTTCCCTGAAAAGCAGTCCAGGCACTGAGACACAGGTGTGTCTCTGCTGGAATGTCCAGAAGCTACTTGGGCTCCTTCTGGATAAAGCAGAGTCTCTGTCAGACCCAGAGGGTAACTCGCATGTGGCCCGAAAAATAAAGGATTTAGAGCAGCTGGAGTGTCTCAAGAGGGATTTAACTCCAGATCTCCTAATGGAGAAGGATTAGGAGGGAAGGAAAGAAGGAGCAAGGATAGCACCAGAGAGAGTAGTTGGGTGGGCTGAGTAGGTAAATGGTGCTTGGGAAGAGGAACAAGCGATCCCCCTTGGAAGCAGAGAACAGCTGGGTGAGGTACCAACAGTAAAAGCTCCCAGGCTTAGAAGGAAACGGTTGGGATGGGTTTGGAGAAGTGCTCTGCATTCATGGGATTGGGAAGATGTTAATCTTTTTTCCTTTACCTAACCTTTCCAAAGGAGACTGCTGCTTATCAGGAGCTTTGCCAGTGCTTTCTGCATGCTGGGATATATCTGTCTCAGAGCTGAGTGTGTCTCATCTGAGTACAGGGAGTCTGAACATGATTTAGAAAGCTGCTTTTTCTTGGAAAAATTAATGTGGATCACCCAAGCAGAAATAAAATGTAACAAAGATTTAGTGCTATAGTTCTGCTTCTGCTGAACTCCTGAAGTTCCCTTGTGTGTAAATGCACATGGATTTTGTTGGTCCCAGGAATGGGGATGGAGGAACAGCTACCAGAAAACCTCAGGCTGAGGAGAACACGAGGTGTGGAGGCAGTGTGAGAGCTGATAAGCTCCAGACACCAACAATGCTGATAAAAGCTGATAAATTCACAGCACCAACCATCTGCCAAAGCTGGCCAAGGCCACTGGTGTCCAGTGGCATCAACAGCAGGTTGGATATCTTGGACCGTGTCCAGGAGGTGGTGACTGCTGGGTGCAGGTAGGGACTACAGGAGTATCTATATGATAAATATGACATAAATATTGTGTATATACACACACCTGATGGAGCAAAGGCTCCTTGAAGGGCTGTCACAGCTCCCTGCCAGCTGTTCTCGTGTCACTGATGCTCTGCCCATCAGTGGAGAGCTGGGGCTGGGCTCACAGCCAGCCCGGGTGGGGAGTGAGCTGTGTGAGCAGCTACCTGCCTCACCAGGAAAAGTGGCCCTGCTAAAACCTGCCTTTGATCTGTRCCAGCCTCCTGACAGGGGGACAGGCAGGCACTGGTCCCCAGGTGTAGCTGTGCTCTGAGCCAGAGGATGTGAGGCTTTTCATGGACACCTGTCCAGTGAAACAGTGGGGGCTCCATTGGGATAGGAGATACCTCACCTAATGGGTCCTGTWTGGGCACAAGACAGGGAGCCTTTGTCCCTGGTGTGAGCTGTAAGGATYCTGGTTTCAGCTGGAATAGGTACCATCTAAACCTTTCTTCTGTGATCTGGTTTTCCCCCACTCTGTGTCAGGGRCTAGGGAATGGAAGCTGGAGAAGGAAAATGTGAGAGCACATGAGGAAATGGGGAATAACTGTGCCTTGGGGTGCTTGGAGCTGGGTGGGATGTGGCAGCCCTTGTTCCATGTGCTGGGAGCCCTGGGAAGGTGTAGCTGAATCCTGTGCTCCAGAGTCAGCAGGAGCTGCCTCCTCAGGCCTGTGGTGGCCTCTGTGGGCCTTGTGCCCAGGGGGTTGGGTGCACAAAAAGGAAGGTGCTGGCTACTGAAACTTCACTCTGACCCCCTGACTGCTCACCTGTTTGCTTCAACTGATTCCCCCCATCAGAGCAGACAAAAATCAGGAGCTGTTCCCTGGAGAGGCTTTTACCTTGCTGTGACAATCTGTTCTTTTCATTTGGAGCTGGGATGGCCTTATTCCTCTGTCAGAAATTATCAAAAAATAGATCTCCTGTTTCTTGGAAAATGGCCCTTCTTATTTTTGTCCTCTGTCCTATTTCACTCTYCCTTCCCTGTTCCTTCCAAAGCAGACATTACCTTTACAATCCAATGTTGTTGCTTAAAAAATTTGAGGARTTGAGGGAACAAAGTGCAAATGGTGTTGAAAATGCAGCAATGCAAAGCTCTGCTCATGGCTTTGCACCATGCAGGAGAGTGCAGCAGTTTCACCAGTGCGTACAAAAGCGAGCTGAAATTAAACCTTCATTTTCTTGCATGTGGTAGTTATTGCTTTGGTTGGACAAGGATGAAAGACTAATTCCACTGTGGAATAAGTCTCCTTGGAGCTTCCTGCCTTTGGTCCAAATAGAAGTGCTGGATTTGCCTCTTGCCTGAAGCTGTGTTCAGGGGAGGTTGGAAACATGAAAAGTAGCAAACCTTCCAACAGCCATCCCCTGTGCTGCAGGGATCCACGGGCTGTTGTGGCTGGCTGGGCTGGGACTGATGAGTGACAGCTGCCTCTGAGCAGCAGGAACACAAACCTGAATTATCTGTTGAAAACTCTGCTGGCTTTACAATTGCTGTGATGCAGAAAAAATGTTGGTGGAATTCCTATAAGTACTCCTGATATCCTCTTTGGGAAGGCTGCTCTCTCCAGGACACGCAGATGCAGCGTTAGAACCAGTGTTAATCTCCCCCCTGCTCCTCAGGTTCTTGGTTAAGGCTGCCTGAACTCTGCCACTTCTTTAGGTGAGTCAATATTTGCCAACTCTTGCTTGTGAATCCGGGATTGCTCCCTCCTGMCACAGCTGCCAGCCTTGCTTTCTTCCCAGCTCTCTGTTTTCCTSAGCATGGCAGTGGACAAAGGAGCTTTGACTCCTGCCCATGGGGTTTGTGTCCCAGCAGGGCTGGGAGTGCTCGGGTTATGCTCAGCATAGTGTGGATGCTCCAGAGGAGGTGATCCCTGTTTCACAGAGCTGGAATTTTTAATGGAAACTTGTAAAGAATGAGGCCAAGCACTTTTGGGGAAGCTGGAATGAGGGACTGGGAATCCAGTGGCACGTGCAGCTTTAATCTAGTTGGGTTTGCAGCTGGTAGGCCTTTAGTCAGATCTGGCACTTCTGTGGGATCTGTTAATTCCTGCTGCTTGGCATTCCTGGCAAGTTTTCCTTGATTCCTCATCTAAAGGGAACGTGGCAGATCTGGAAAGAAGTTGGAATAAGCCAATCTGGAAGGAGGTTGGAATAAGCCATTCTACAGAGTTGCCTTGGAAAGCTTTTGTGCCTGTAATATTATAATTACTGACAGCACTGGGAGGAGGGAGCAGGAGAGGGTGTGTTGTCATTTTGGCTGGTTTGCTTCAGGAGCTGGTGTGGTGTGATGGGGCAGGGAAGCCGTTGGAAGCACTCAGCACYTTTCCTGTGCACACACCATGACAGGAGCTGGAGTTGGTGCTGCTGGCATCATTCAGACTGCACAGCTGTGATGTCCTCCAGTGCTTGCTGGATTACCTGTGGCTCTTCCATCCTGTGCTGATTTGCCCTGGGCAGGTGAACCTGCAGCTCCATGGCTTTCACACAGTGCTTTGGTGGTCCTTGTGGGTAACCAGCCAAGGGAAACATCAGCCAGCCCTGGGTTTGCTGGGGCTCCTGGGAATTGCACTGTGGAAGGGCTTCCCACAGGCAGTAGGCTGCTCCCTTCTTTTGTGCTCCTGGCACCCTCTGCTGCTTYCAGCTGGGTTAGCTGCAGAGGAAGGGAGAAGGAATGGAGGTTCAGTGTTTGCTGTCTTAGTTTTAACAGATTAAAAAAAGGTGTGCACTCTGCAGCCCCCGTGGAATGTGTCAGTCCTGACCCTGCACTTTTCCTTCTCCCAGATCCCCAAGGATGAGCACATCCTGCGGTTCCTGCGTGCCCGTGACTTCAACATCGACAAAGCACGGGAGATGCTGTGCCAGTCGCTGTCCTGGCGCAAGCAGTACCAGGTGGATCTCATCCTGCAGTCCTGGAGACCCCCGGCCCTGCTGGAGGAGTACTACACTGGGGGGTGGCACTACCAGGACAAAGGTGAGGAGCTGCCCCTGCCMCAGGCTGGTTCTGGCACCTCCCCAGTGACCTGGGATTATTCTTCACCTGTAATTGTATTTCCGCTGCATAGATCAGGCAGAGCAGTCACTCCAAAGCAGTTTCTCTGACAAGGTTACTYTCGGAAGTGGTTTTTATCCTTTTCAAATATTTAATGTGGCTTTTAAAAAAGGTTTGAGTGTGATAGCCTGGGGACTGAAGTGCTCCCCTCTCTAAACCCTTTGTTTTGAAGATGGGCGGCCACTCTACATCCTCCGCCTTGGCCAGATGGACACCAAGGGTTTGGTGAAGGCCCTGGGAGAGGAATCCCTGCTGCGACACGTGAGTTGTGCCTTCATGTTCCCCCTGCCACTCAGGGTGTGTGGAAGGCTTGTCATGGTGTATCAGGAATCCTGGAATGGTTTGGGTGGGAATGGTCCTTAAAGTCTATCCCATCCCACCCCATGCTTGGCCAGGGACACTTTCACAATCCCAGGCTGCTCCAAGCCCCATCCAGCCTGGCCTTGGACACTGCCAGGGATCCAGGGGCAGCCACAGCTTCTCTGGGCACCCTGTGCCAGGGCCTCCCCACCCTCCCAGGGAACAATTCCTTCCCAATATCCCATCYATCCCTGCCCTCTGCTGTACTTCTGTGTGTTTTAAAATAAGATYTCAGGCTCTCCTGGTTCCTCAGCCATACTCAGGCTGATCCCTGTCTGTGCTGTCTTTGGTTCCAGGTTCTGTCCATTAACGAGGAAGGACAGAAGAGATGTGAGGAAAACACCAACATCTTTGGCCGCCCCATCACGTGAGTATCATTGGTTTTTGTGAATCCTTGCAGATTCACGGACATGAAGAATGCTGCTGTGGGGTGATGTCCTTGGGGTTATAGTGCAGACAGCAGTGTGTGTTATGGGCTCTTTGGAGAACTACAAATATATGTGTGTGTGTATAGATTCCTAAATGCAGATGAATTCTACAGTTTCGTTGGAAAGCAGGTATTCTTCCTTGCATCTTTTTCATATCCCATCTCAGTTTAATTTAATCTTCCTGTCTTGCTGATTTTAATCCACATCTTTGAAATCCGATTTTTTTTAATACAGGAGCCTGTCTGTCAGATTCCATCTTCATTTAAAATGCATTTTTACATTATTTTTAGCAATAGGCCTGCATCCATAGCTTCATACTCTTCCAGAGTGACAAATGTTCTGACCCTTGGGGTTGGCTGTCTGTTTTACCTGGAGCTCACCTGGATTCAGGTGTCTGCTGCATGAGTGGAGATGTGCTTTTCATTGGAACTGCTGGTACCCCTTGTTGGCTCTCCTGGATCCTTCATGGGCTGTGGGGTTGCTSTGGATCCTAAACCAAGCAGCCACCRGCCTCTAAAGTTCTGACAGGTCTTTCTCTGCCTGTTTATTTTAGCTCCTGGACATGCCTGGTGGACTTAGAAGGGCTCAATATGAGGCACCTTTGGCGGCCTGGGGTGAAGGCCCTGCTCAGGATCATTGAGGTGGTGGAGGACAACTACCCCGAAACCCTGGGGAGGCTCCTGATTGTGAGAGCACCACGGGTCTTCCCCGTGCTCTGGACCCTGGTGGGTGAAATYTGGGCTCTGCAGGATCACTGGGGCACTGGGGCAGCTTCACAAATCAGCAGAGGCAGGCAGGGAAGAGCTCCAGGTAACCTGTGGTGAGCTCTGAAAAAGCCCCAGCTGAGCCAGCCATGGGGTGCCTGTAGCTCTCTGGGTTCTAGTGGCTGCCATCCACCAGGACAGGATGTGAAACCTGAACTGGAATTCGCCATTTCACCCAAACTTGGAGTGTTCTCATATAGATGGGAAAAGACATATTTTTTAATCTCATGCTGTAGGACATTGAAGAGTAAGAAGTAGCGAATAATAAAGCTGGTTCTGCCTGTTGCCTGCAGACTGCTCTGGCCATGTGAGAACGAAGTTGTTACATTTCTTCTGAGGTTTATAGGTGAGGCAGTGACTGCAGACCTCCTTTACATGGAGCAGAAAGTGTTGTGAGATGATGATACAGGATACTTGGAGAGCATTTCYATTTGTTATCCCTTCCTTGGGGAAGTGCCTCAGAGCTGTGAAGCTCTGCACACTGCTGAGACCTTCCAGGCTAGAGTCCAAAGCATCCTCATGAGATGRTGAGATGGCTCAGACATTGTGTGCAGCCTCCCTCAGTGACAGCCATGCCTTCTGTGCCCTTCCTCTTGCAGGTCAGTCCCTTTATCAATGAGAACACGCGGCAGAAGTTCCTCATTTACAGYGGCAATAACTACCAGGGCTCAGGGGGGCTGGTGGACTATGTGGACAAGGAYGTGATCCCAGATTTCCTGGGAGGAGACTGCATGGTGAGTTTTCCTTCCTCTTGTGTAGGTGGAATCTGGAACTGCTCCCAGATTTCCACAGCCTTCTGGAAGGGGTTAAAGCTCTGTGCTGGCCAGGATTCACCTGCTCTGAGCACGGGGCTGTTCATGTGGGCACAGGAGGCTTCTCCCTGCATGGGTGGGGCTGCCCTGGGGGTCCTGGAGCTGGGTCAGTGGGCAGCTCTGTGGGAGTTCAGATAAACCTTGGGTAATTACAGTGAACTCAGAGGGATCCTGCTCCAGCTGAGGGGTCAGCCTGTGTCTGACAGCTGGCAAGGGTTCCTGGTTCACTGCTGGGCCATCCTGACCCTCCTGCTTGTCTGTGTGGCCATTGCAGTGCACAGTCCCTGAAGGGGGGCTTGTCCCCAAGGCCCTCTACCAAACTGAGGACGAGCCCGAGAACACGGATCACATCCGCCTGTGGACAGAAACCATCTACCACTCTGCCAGTGTCCTCAAAGGAGCCCCACATGAGGTACAGGCCTGAACTTCCCTGGGCTGCAGGAGGGGCTGGGCTGRGCCAGGGATGTGTCCCCTCGGCTGGGGCTGGAGCAGCCGAGGGCTCCCASAGAGGGGGCAGGAAAGGGCTCAGCAGCAGCTGCTGTTCCTGGAAGGGAGCAGCTGGAGGTATCAGAGCTCAGAGCAAGTGTTCGAGCAGCAGTGTCTCTCATCTCTACCATGGTCTGATCTTCTGTAAGGTCCAGTCTCTTCTTCCTCCTCCTCCTGGGGCCCCTCAGTTTCCTTTCTGACAGTTCAGCTCCCATTCCAGCAGTGTAGCTGAGACAGTAATGGGGGTGACAAAGGAAGGTGGTGCTGGMCACTGCCTGATGGGAGTCACCAGGAAACAGGATGTCCCAAAAAGGAGCAATGAAGCATCCAGTCAGTCCTCTGGCCTCTCTGATGGGGAGTGACTGATGTGCYACTTTGCTGTCTCCTGCTTTGCCTCATTCCACTGAGGTTTTTCTAGAAGAAGTAACTCATTTACAAACAGCTCTGATACAGGGAGAGAAGGTGCAAACACCTGAGYGGGTGTGCTGTGGTAGGGTTGGGAACAGGAATTGGTGTTCATCCCCCTGAGGAACCAAGACCAGCAGCCAGCTGAAGGATGGGGGAGCCCAGTGTGTTTTTGCCCCAGTGGGGAGGAACACACTGCTGCCACCTCTCCCTGCAAGGTCCTTGTTCTGTTCCCTTCTTAGATATTTGTAGAGATCCTGGAAGGGGAATCTGTCATCACCTGGGACTTCGACATCCTGAAGGGAGATGTGGTGTTCAGCCTCTTTCACTCCAAGCGAGCTCCCGAGCAGAGTCACAAAGAAGCCATGTCCCCAAGTGCCTCTGCAGCRGGGGACAACGTGCAGCTCATCGACAAGACCTGGGTGCTGGGGGTGGATTACAGCCGGGTGGAGTCTCCTCTGGTCTGCAGAGAAGGAGAGAGCATCCAGGTCAGAGGGCGGTGGGTCCTGGCGTGGGTTTAAAGTCCTGCAAACTCCAGAGTGTTCAGGTGATGGGAGAGGAATTGATGGTGTGGGAAATCAGGTACTGCTGGAAATGGGGCTGTGGTTGTTCCCAGCAGCAGGGGAGGGAGGGGTTCTGCCCCTCTGCCCCTCAGGTGAGACCCCACCTGCAGAGCTGCCCCAGCCCTGGGGAACAACAGCCGCAGGACCTGGAGCTGCTGCAGAGAGCCCAGAGGGGGCCACAGAGCTGCTCCAAGGGCTGGAGCCCCTCTGCTCTGGAGCCAGGCTGGGAGAGCTGGGGGTGCTCACCTGGAGAAGAGAAGGCTCCAGGGAGAGTTCAGAGCCCCTTCCAGGACCTAAAGGGGCTCCAGGAGAGCTGGAGAGGGACTGGGGACAAGGGATGGAGGGACAGGACACAGGGAATGGCCTCCCACTGCCAGAGGGCAGGGATGGATGGGATATTGGGAAGGAATTGTTCCCTGGGAGGGTGGGGAGGCCCTGGCACAGGGTGCCCAGAGAAGCTTTGGCTGCCCCTGGATCCCTGGAAGTGCCCAAGGCCGGGCTGGACGGGGCTTGGACAATCCTGGGACCGTAGAAGGTGTCTCTGCCCATGGCATTAGGCAGAATGGGATGAGCTTTGAGGTCTCTTCTCAACCCAAACCATCYTGGGATCCTGTGATCATTCTCTGGATTCCATGGGATAGTGGTTGCTGTCACAGTCCTGATTTAGATGTGTCAGAGACTCCATKACAAAAATCTAATGGAAAGTAAAGCTAAATGAGCTTTTTTTCCCCCTACTGGCACTCCAGAGCTGTGTCTCAGGCATGTCAGACAGGTGAAGGACACCTRTGCTAGATCATTCAGCCATTCCCCAGGACACCCGTGCTCACCTGCTGTCCCTCCCTCTCTGCAGGGCTCCCATGTCACACGCTGGCCTGGCTTTTACATCCTGCAGTGGAGGATGCACGGGCCCCTGCCCTGCTCCAGCTCCAGCCTCCCCCGTGTGGATGATGTCCTGGCCTCCCTGCAGGGCTCCAGCCACAAGTGCAAGCTCATCTACTACTAYGAGGTGCTGGCCTCCAAGGACTTCAGGTAGGGCATTTGCAAGGGGTTTACTATGAGTTGCAACAGAGAAGCCAAATGAGAGGATTGAACCTGAGTTAAACATTTGGATACCGGAGACCCCCACAGGGGATGTGTTTCATTGCCATTGTGTCCATTGTGTGAATGGACCCAAAACTGATGGATGGTAGCATTTTGTGCTGTAGGTATTTGAAAATTCCCTGGACTCTGTGTCCACCAGTAGAATTTGTGATTTGCATCTTGCCTGCAGCTGCCTGAAGAGCAGGAGGTTTTTGACTCAGGAGAGTTGTTATCCTAATTGGGAACATTTTGAGGAGCTACTTTTGGATTTAAATACCATCTGGGCTATTTCCCAGATATTTAGTTTCCCAGATATTATTTGAGAAGGAGGAGCACTTCTGAGCAGGTCAGCAGTCAGCCTTGGCAGGGTATGCCTGGCCTCCTCCTCCAGTGCTGAAAGCACTTCCCAATYTCCTGCAAATCTGAGATCTGTGCAAGTCCTTGAGCTTTCCCTAGAGCTGGAGGTAGCCTTGGGCAGAACAGACCTGCAGGTGGTGACCTTGGGGTGTGATCTGGCCAGGCCCTGTGGGCTCAGAGCAGCAGCAATGCCTCTCTGCAGTCAGGCAGACCTGTTCCTCAGGGCTCTCCTGAGCCCAGCCTGTGGCTGGAGGAACTGGAGAGGCTGGACTTGGGACTGGTGTCCAGCAGYCTGGAGGCCTTGGCTTCAAAGAGATTGTGTTTGGAGTGCTCTGCACTTTCCTTTCTCCTCAGGGAGAGAGGCTCCAGCTCCTCAGAACAACAGYCACAGACAAGGCTGTACAATAATATCTGTAACTGGAAAAAAAAACACTAATTAATTTTTCATCATGACACAGAGATTCTTAGAGAGCAAGTAAGAACTGATGGGAAAGAAGGCACTTGTGCAAGTGTTACAGAGAGGGAGCTGATGGGTGGGAGGAGTGGGCATCCCTTAATTGCTGCCTTCTAACAGCACATCTGCTCTGTCCCATCCCAGGGGATCCATGTCAAGCCTGGAATCTTGCAACAGCGGCTTTTCCCAGCTGAGTGGAGTCACCACATCTTCCAGCCAGTCCCAAAGCAGCTCCCACCTTTCCAGATAGCAGAGCCAAGGCTGCAGCAGCAGGGAAAGACCCCCGGGGCTGCTCCAGCCTTGAACCAAAGAGCYCCAGGGCTGAGCCGTGGGGCAGTCGCAGCCATTTGGACACAGAGAGGCCTCTGSGAGCTGCTTCCACCCCAAAAACTGAAATTCCAAAGGCAGGTTTAGGAGTTGTAGGTCAGCTGCCTGCTTCTCACTAGTCTCCWTCACCACCTGTGGATTTTGGATGCCTGTGAGTTTGCAGGAATCTGTTCTCACTCCACTCCAAAGGGCTCTTCTCATYGGTCCTTTTCCCACAGAGGCTGATGTTGCCTTACCTGTTGGACCTTTAGATAATTCCTGGTAGCAGAACTGATGGAATTTCCTGGGTGCCCACAGGGTACTGGCTCCAGACATGTGGGCATCCCAGGGCCAGGGCCTTGGAAGGAGCTGCCAACACCTGGGTACAGGTAGGACGATTCAGAAATTGCTTCCAGGCCAAACCAAAAACCTCACCTGGTCTGGCAGGATGATCTGGGAAATGTGTTAGATTTTTTTTGACCCAGCTGAGAAACAAGGTCAAAATTGTTTCATTTAGAAATTCCAGGCATTGGATCTGCCTCCAGTGAGTGGCATCTTCCAAACTGTTCCTTTTTTACTCAGGTTTACAGCAATAATGAGTAGGTCTGTCCCATTCCTGAKTGGATGGGAATTGAATCCAATTCTAAAGGGCTAAGAAAAGCAATATTTGTTTTCCTGAAGGCACAAGATTTTCTGGCAGTATTACAGAACTTGCTTCTTTAAAACATGAGCTCACTTGAAACCTTTCAGAGGGGCATGTATGTATGTAAGCACTTAGTGAAGCCTATTTATTCTATAGTAGCTTATTTTAAATTAATTTTTAACTTATTTATAATGTCAGAAATGACTATTTATTAAATACAGTCACCTTTTTTTAATGGGATGAACTTTGTTTTAGAAAGGAATAACTAATTGTCTTCAATCCCAAGAAATCTTTCTGCTTGGGTCCTSATCTTTGTGATCATTGGATGTTCTTGCAAAAGGGCTGCATTCGGGTAAGGGCTGTGTCACCTTCCCTGCAAAGAAAGGTGACAGTCCAGYGCTTTATTTTGGACTGGTTTTTTAGGATTAAGAAGCAAGGATTGAGGCCAGGAGTTGTCATGAAGATGCACTGTCTTCCTACACACCAAAAAGGCCATGTTTGTCCCTAATCTCTGCTTGTCCCTGTGGTCAGGTTGGGGAGCAGAGTTATCCATCTTCTTGTCCAGGTGGCAATGAGAACAGGTGTCAAATATTCATCAGGTTTTTATTCAGGAATCTGTGAAGTTGTTCCTTCCCACCCTGCTGTTTGTAATCACTGGTTTGAAGCACCAGGTGCTGCCAAATATGAAAAGAGCCCAACTATTTGGAACAATGGAAGACAAGAACTTGATGTGGTTTTAAGTTGTTTGGTGGGACTTCTAAGGATTGGAGCYAAGGGAATCACTCTCCACCTTGCATCTCTCCCTGTGAACAGGTAACTTGGTTATGTAGAGCTCAGGAAAGTTCTGATTTCCAAAAATTTCTCAGTTGTTCCACAGATTTCAACATTTCTCCCAAACAAAGGAAACTTCTGTCTGTCTCTGGCATTTCAGCATACATGGGGGCTTATAGAGAGGGACAAWTACACCTTTCCTCTGGAAAATGAGGAATGCTGCAAGTGCATGTGTGTATCCCTCATGGAAAATACTTGACCCAGAATAAAATCTGATGCTCTAAACAATTTCAGATTCCCAAAGCCCCAGGAGAAAACCCAGCCCTGTCCCCCTTGTGCTGTTTCAGGGTTTTACCTTCCTTTCTCATGTGGTTGCTCACGTTCCTACAGTGGCAACATTCCTGTTCCCTKGGTTTGCTCTGGGTAAGAATCTCTTCCTTTGCTCTGGATTTATTTTAAATTYTATTTTGAAATGTGGGATAAGCTGTTTTCTGCCCACCAGCAGTTTTGAGTGTTTGACTTTTTCAGTGAAGCACCAGACRTTGGCCCTGGCAGATCTCTGAAGGGTGAAATGAAGGACTGGTTCCCCAGAGCATCCCTGGCTCTGAGAATATCCCAATCCCAGTTTTTCCTTTTGGCAGTACCACTCCTCTGYCCACGAGAGATCATGGCATGGATCTGGGAAGCAACCTGTGCCCTCTCCTTGGCAAGGTTGCCCGGGTTATTCCACCTGACAATTTACTTTGAAACCAATTTAAATAATCCAGTATTTTTTTTTTCTTTTCTCCCGAATGTTACAGAAGAAAGGGAGCAACAGCCTGGATGTTGTGGTTAATGCTGTGCTTTTTAAACCTGATTTGGTCAACTGCAGGTGCCAGAGACACAGAATTCTACATCACYTTTTCCCCCCTCAAATGACATCAGTGTGCTTTAGAAAATAAACTCAGTTTTCTTCACAGGGAGCTGAGGCTGGGAGGGGTTCTGGATCCTTGAAAATTTTCCTAAGCCAGAACCTCGTGAAATGGCTTCATTTTGGGTGGTGAAGCCAAGCCCTCCCAGCTCCCTGCCCAGCCAGGGGGTTCAGGCTGAGTGCAGGGAAGGAGCTGCTGATTAAAAACGGGCTCCCAGTGAATTGGGCTCTCTCCCYGTTCCAGATCTCCCATATGCAAACACAACACCTACCTCAGAGCCGGTGCCATGTCCCATGGGTGGCAGGGGAGTGCTGGATGCTGAGCTGCAGGGCCCAAGGGCTGTGCCCCAGTTCATTAAACAGGGCCARGTGGGAAACCTTCACTGCCACTGARTTCTCCAGGTCTGTCCTATTCCCTGGGCTCTGTCCCAGGGCTGGGAAGGCAAACACGGAGCATGAGGATGAATGGCTGACCTCAGCTGTTGTTCAGGGCACAGTCCTGAGCCGTTTTTTTGCTGCCTCTCTGGTGTGCAAAGGGCTTTTCCCGGCTGAAGGAGAAGGGCTGAGTCCCCGGGACAGCAGGGCAGCTCCAGCCCGGCAGGGCGCAGGGACAGCGGTGCCTCGGTGTCACCGCTGCCGGGTGCCAAGAGACGAGCTGAGCCCGCCCTGGGGCTCTCATGCTCCGCAGGGAGGCACCCGAGCAGCTCGGTCATTCCACAGCTCCTGTCCTCGCTGCTGGGAACAGAATTCCCAACTAACCAGGTGGGGGAATCTGGAGTGACTGAGCTTCAGCCAGGTTCCTGTGCTCAGCCAGTTCAGTTCTGTTTGTTCCCCTTCAGGAACTTTGAATAACAATTTATAATCCCAGCTTGGTTTATTATCAAAAGCTTTTGAAAATGCCATAATCCACTCGGAATTCCCAGCAGGAAGTGGTGAGCCCAGCTGTCCACCCYGCTGGGCTGGGAAGCTGCAGGGGCTAAAGCGAGCTGTGCTCCAGGCAGGGAATCCCTCATTTCAAAAGGCATTTTATGGGCTCACRCTGCTTTAATATCCCAAATGTTTGTACTGTGAGCAATTAATGCAAGGAACAGCTATCAGAGACTTAATTGACAGCAGCTGTCAGAGATCCCCGCATGCAATTAGCTTTAATATTCCTCCAACACCTTTGTGATGCTCCTTGCACCTGATTATTTCTCTCTTGGAAGGTGAAATGGGAGTCAAATCACATTTGCTGGCTTTTAATGACACCRACACCTACTTCCAAGCTTTCAGTTACACCTAAGTTAAATGGGCATTAATTAATTTTTTGAATAAGCACTAACTTTCCCTCCCGTGCAGCTGGCTTTGGTTTTATACACTGAAATCTTCATTTTTTTTCAGCCAAGACCCCCAAACCTCTTGTAAGAGCCCTCTGAAAACCACAGGGCACTGTAACAACAAATGTACTCCAGTGATGGTATCTGTGGGTCCTGGCAGAGCTGTACTTTTGGGTATGTTGGAAATAAAACATCTCTGAGAACACAGGGAAGTGTTTGATTCAATTGTTCAGATTGGGGGGGAAATCAAAATTCAAGTCTGTCTGCTGCTCTCTTTGCCCCCAGAAGCAGAGGTAAGGCTTGTATTCACTTTTCCCTGCTTTTCAACTGAAATGTTTCAGCTTTTTCCTACAGAACCAGCATTTTTTGATTTCGTAGCAGAGTAGGCTGGAACAGCGCATCCTGCAGTGTGATTGTTATTAAAAATAAAAAAAAAAAAAGCCCCTGGGTTCCACTGGATTAACTGGGAAGGGATCACAGGTCCTTCTGCAGCTGGACACCAGGAATTTTGAGTTTCAGGCAGATAGTACTAATGACCTTTATTCAAGTTTCAAGTAATCTTCTGTAAATCATAGAAAAATAGAGTCTCTTGCTTGCAGGCTGATTCAATGCCAACAGTGGCACAGATGATACACATCCTTTACTTGGAGAGGTAAAAAGGGAGTGAGTGCATAAAGATGTGTGGGGCTCAGCCAGGCTCCCACCTCTCTGCAGCATCCAAGGGGCTCATCTCAGGCTGGGTTTCCCTCTTGGGGAAGCAAACCCAAACACTGTTTTCATGTACCATGCCAAGGATGTGTTCCAGATTTCCAGAGCAGGTGCTGGGCACGCTGGCTTGGCTGGAGCCCTTGCTGGGCCCTCTGTGTGGCTGGGGCAGGGCAGCCCAGGCTGTGTGCCAGGCTGTGTGCCAGGCTGTGTGCCAGGCTGTGTGCCAGGCTGTCCCTGTCTGTGCCCTTCCCCACGGGGAGAGCTGCAGGCTGTGCCAGGGTACCTCAGCCCATGGAGCCGGGCAGAGCCAGTGACTCCTGGGATGTGGAGAGACGTGAATGGAATGTGTGACCTGACAGGGATTGTTGTGGTGCTGTGCTGCAAGAGCTGCCTTAAAACAGCATCTGTCACCCTCTGGGGCTGCTCTGGGCTGGGCACCGGTCAGAAAACACTGCAGCCTTGCAGAGAGCTGTAACAACCCCAAGTGTCATCTCTGAGCCACCACCGGGGCCAGGAGAAGAGGGCCCTGCTGGTAGTGGGTGTGGCACCTGCTTCAACGTTTTAAACAAATTTTTGTCACTTGATCAAAATCTCAGCTTCCCAGAGAAGGGCAGACATTGACTGTAACGCCCTCAAGCCCAGCTTTGTACCAGAGGCAGTTCGTCTTGCATCTTTAAAATACTGAGGTGAGCAGGGATGTTTCTGAGGTGCCTGTGACTTGCATCCCTCACCTGTTTCTCTCACGGTTTGGAAGGAACCAGCCTGTTTCCTGCTGCAGCTGTGGAATTCCCTCACCCAGGGGATGTCCTGCATCCCCTAATGCTGCACTCCTGGGGGCTGGGGCAGCAGAGTAAAGGAAATGACAGCCTCAGCAGGGGAGTTCATGGGCTGATGCTCCTCAGGCAGCAGTTGGAGGCTTCCAGTGGGAACAACCCCAGTCCCACTCGGTGCTGAGGGGCAGTATGGAGTGCACAGTGAAATACCTCATCTCTTCCCATCTGTGACTCTAAAGGAGCTCTTGGTTTGGCTCCTGAGTGTCCTCGGGCTCCTGCGTGTCCTGGTCCCAGGCAGCAGAGGTGGGGGTGTGAGGGGTGTCCCCGTTGAGGTCCYTCAGTGGGTGGTAGCAATAGTCACGGTGCTGCTGCCCCGAACGTGCCCTCAGCACCAGCCCCACGTTCCCCAGGACGCTCAGCACCAGCAGCAGGGCCAGGGTACAGCTCAGGGAGAGCCACGAGCTCCTGTGGGACACACAAACCACAGAACCAACAGCTCTTCTGTGCCCAGGGTGCAAAGGATTGCCCTCCCTTCTCTGCCTTCTCAAGCCTGTGATCCTGCTCTCAGGCAGCAGAGAATCAGGGACTCAGGTTGGAAAAGTCCTCTCAGATCATCGAGTCCAACCATTCTCCAGCACTGCCAAGGCCACCACTAAACCATGTCCCCAAGTGCCACATGAACACAGCTTTTAAAACCCTCCAGGAGAATCCCTCCACCCCTTCCTGGGCAGCTGTGCCAAATTCCTGACCATCCTTTCTGGGAAGAAGTGTTCCCAATATCCAACCTGACCCTCTCCTGGCACAACTTGAGGGCATTTCCCCTTGACCTGTCCCTGTTCACTGGGAGCAGAGCCCGACCCCCCCAGCTGCCCCCTCCTGTCAGGGAGTTGTGCAGAGCCACAAGGTCCCCCCTGAGATCCACCTCCTTCTCTGCAGACTCAACACCCTCCATGCTCTGTGACAGCCTCTGAGATASACAGTTACTGCCACACACTTACTCTGACAGAGAGAACTTTTCTTTGCTCCTTTCCTTATTCTGAGAAGCCAAACACTGTCCAGCTGGAAAACAAAGAGGGAAGAAAGGCAGGGGAGGGTGTAAAATTCCACTCAAAAAGAGCAAGGTCAAGCAGAGCTGGTGACTAAGCAAACACCATTATGCACTAAAGCTGCTCTTCCAACTCCCTTTTAAAGTTCATCCCCCTGCAGTCAGGTACCTCTGTGTAAGTGGTCCTGCAGTGCCCCATGGTGAGTGATGTTGCAGCTGCCCGTCTCGGGATCACAGGGACACGAGTGGTCACACGCGCAGCGGCTCTGGCAGCTCGGCCCAAACCAGCCCAGGGGACACTCTGGGGATGGGATCACAAAGGGATTGGTCATTGCCAAAGCCCCACCTGCTCTGAGAGCAGCCAGGCTGTGACTGCAGCTCCCCCAGCTCAGCTGAGCCAGCAGCAGCCTGGGAGCACCATGCTGGGAGTTCAGGGCTGCTCTTTGGTCTCACAGGGAAGTTTGTGTAAAACTGGGATCACAGAATCATTGAATGATTTGGGTTGGAAGGGGCCTTAAAGCTCCTCTTGTTCTACCCCCTGCCGTGGGCAGGGACACCTTCCACCATCCCAGGGTGCTTCAAGCCCAACCTGGCCTTGGACACTCCAGGGATGGGGCAGCCACAGCTTCTCTGGGCAACAKCTCTGGGASAGGACTGTCTGAGTGTTCCCAGGCTGGAACAGAGCATCATTGACAGAATGAGGCACCCATAAAGGTCACACCCCACTGTAATTAACTCATTCACTCAGATACAGGGAGGCCTGGAGTGGTTACCAAGCAAGAACAGGGCCAGCTCCATCAGCACATGTGGTGTGAGGGTGGCATGGCAGAATAGCCCACTGGAGCATTCCACAGGCACTGACCTGCATCACCTGAAGCCTGGGCAGCAGCAGGGCCTGGTGCAACACTCTGGAGCAGAGGATATGTTGCATCCTATGCTCTGGGAAAGGAATGCAGTTCTTTGGGGCTGAGACTAAACAGGAATGCACAATTTTCTGTTGAAAAAGCAAACTCCTTTCTCCTCCCTGCTCCTTCCTCTCCTTTTTACCCCATTTGGGTAGGACAGGCAGGCCCAGAAGAGCTGGGAGCTGGCAGCTGATGTTCAGGCCTGAGGTCCTCCTTGCTTTGATTACAAAAGGTGGCTCAGAGGTGACACAAAAGGCTGTCCCCAGCCCTGGTGGTCACTGAGAGCAGCCCTCACCGTGCTCACAGCTGGTGCCATAGAAGCCCGCGGGGCAGGAGCAGGTTCCATGCACAGGATCACAGGAGCTGCCGTGCTGGCACTGGCATTTCTGGCTGCAGGATTCCCCGTAGGAACCAGGAGCACAAGCTGCAGGAGACAAGCAGAGATGTTACCCTGGCTGCAGCAGGGAACAATCCCAGCCCTCAGCCACAGCTCAGGGTGAGGAGGGATGCTCACCAATGAGCCCAGTTTGTGCCCTGAACAAGGAGCAAGGGCTTAAGTGCCTCACACCAAGCCAATCGTGAGCTGCAACTAAACTCACACTGCCAAAATTGCAGCCCATAAGGTGGCCTTTCCCTTCCCCTCACCCTCTCAGCTGTTGGGAAGTGGTTCCCACTCCCCTCTCCCTGGCTGTGAAGAGGCAGTGGAGGAGCAGTCAGTATTTACCATCAGTGCAGTTGCTGCCAGTCCAGCCGGCGTCACACAGGCATCCAGCTGTGCAAACACACACAACAGACATTACTGACAACACAAAAACACCTGGAAGCAGCAGGGACTCAAAATCAGGAGCCTCTGCCTCTTGGGGTGTCCTCCTACCCCTGCCAGCGAACCCCCAGAAGAGGAATTCTGCACTCACACCAAGGGTGGGTTCAACACACATCCCCTCCCCAGCTGCCACACGCAGCAGAGTGACTGCTGATGGCATTCCCCAGGATCAGCCCTGGCAACACCGCACCCACCAGGCTCTGCCCACCCACTGCACTGGGACACACCTGAATGAGAGTTGAACTGGCAGAACAGGAAGAGGGTAATGGGATTGGGCAGGCACAGAGGGGCAGAAGCTGGGGGCGGACATTCCAGCAATCCCTAGGTTCAAATCCATGGAAGAGTAGTGACTGCACACTCATAAAAATCATGAAGCAGGAGAGGCAAGTAAAAAAGGAAGTGAGGGAACAGAGGCMGCTGCTGTCACACACTGTAATACACATCCCTACCAATCAGAGCACAACCCTGGGGCAGAAAGGGAAGCTGAGGCACAGTGCTTCAAGTTTCCAGCCCCAAGCCCCAGCCCAGCCCTGCTGCTAGCTCCTAAAGGCAGCRTGTTCTGACCACCCAAGCCTCAGCCACTGGAGGGGAGGGGAAGCAGCCCCACCCACGCAGCAGGTACCCAGCAGGCAGGCAGGCAGGCAGCCAATAGTCCCCAGGGATGCACCCCAGGGATGCACCGCCAGTTCCTGCCCCTCCATTTCACCCCCGCGGGGACTCACAGGCGCTGCAGATGCCGTGCAGGCTGCAGTTGGCAGGGCCGCAGTCCAGGGTGTCACAGGCAGGACCGGCCCAGAAGTGGCTGTCGCAGTGGCAGTGCCCGGCCACACAGAGCCCATGGCCACTGCAGTCAGGGGGGTCACAGCCCGGCTCATGYACACACACCACGGTGGAGATGCTCCGGGGACAGCGCCACATGCTGTCAAAGGAGCTGGGGACAGCAGAGGGGACAGCGTGAGCTGTGTCAGCACTGTGCTGCCCAGCCCGAAATCAGTTATATAACCCACAGACTTCATCCCGATCTACACCAGCAAACAAGAATATGAATATTGGGAAAATACAAACATAAAACTGCACTGGAGTCTATGTTTTAACTGAGTGTTAAATCCCATCTGATGGGTATCATTTCAAACATGGAATTACAGAGGCAACACACAGAGTCTCCCTTTAAGCAGTCCCAGCTTCCCTAGTTTTAGCACTCAACACACCTTTCCTTGAATGTTACTTGCTTTGATATAAATTATATCATTGGAGTTATGGCAACTGAATGTTAAATCCCTTCATGTTTACAGTCAGAACTGACTAAAAACCTGAATTTAAAGTAAAATATTCTTTAGGTTCCCTCCAGTGAGGCAGGGCAGGGTGTCCCAGTCARTGTTTCTCTTCCATAATAATAAGCTGCTGACAGATCTCTGCTAATTCCTATCAATGTGCAGCTCTGAATCTCCCAGACTAAGAGCTGCTGCCTTATCCGATTCCCACATCAGCCACTCAGTCACAGCCACAGCTTTGCTGCCTGTCTGCAGTCAGCTCAGCTTTAATCCTGGATGACTAAGTGGAAAATATATGGAGTCACTCAATCGCTTTAAATTCTAGAGCTGCTCTCTCCCACAGATCCTGTCACCTGCCTTTGCTGTGCCCTCCCAGCCAGGCCAGGGGGTGGGACTGGGCTCTGCACCCCAGCAGGAGCTGCAGGGGCCCCTGGGCAGCCCTGGGCACGAGTCACCAGCACCTACCAGTGCTCAGAGGGGTAGCTGGCCAGGGTCCCGTTCAGGACCAGTGTGGCAGAGCCTCCACCGTCCAGGTTGATGGCGTTGATGACTCCCTGCTGCTTCAGGAATTCTGCCATTTCCCACAGGTTGACCCTGCAAAGCAAAGGCTGTCTGTTGATTTTACTTCAGTGAAGCTGTTAGGCCAGAAGCTTGTTGCTCTCCACGGTGGAAGGGGAAGTTCTCCCATCCCAGGCACTCTGACATGCTGTATGGAAGCTGCACGAGCCTTTTCTGGTTCTCTTAAGCCCTGCAAGTCTCTGCCTTAAAACACATCCCTGGCAGCTGCAGCATCCCTCCAGTTCCAGGAATCTGAGACCTTATCCAAGGCCTTACCCTCTGTATTCTGTCTGTCCATCCACGTGAACCAAGACGAGCCGGCCCTGCCTGTCRTGTCCCACTGCAGTCCTGGCTGAGATCACATTGATGAACTTGTCGAAGGTTCCTGCAGCACAGGGAAAAATTCACACTCAGCTGGGGGACAGAATGGCTATTTAGATACATGAACAGACACATTTGTYTGCAGAACAGCTCCCAGCAAGGGGMTCATCYRAAYTGAAACMGCGAGAACATAGCCCAGGTTGCTCTTGTTCATCYAAGCCCTACAGAAGTGTTCTTGATTAAGTTTTTGTCTGGCACAGGGACAAAGCAGGGAATTATCAAGACCTCAGCTTTAAATTCGTGTAACAGGCAACTGATTTCAGTTTCTCTCGACAGGTTAGATGGGATATTGGGAAGGAATYGTTCCCTGGGAGGGTGTGGAGGCCCTGGCACAGGGTGCCCAGAGAAGCTGTGGAGCCCCATCCCTGGAGTGTCCAAAAGCCAGGTTTGGACAGGGCTTGGAGCAGCCTGGGACAGTGGAASGTGTCCCTGCCATGGCAGGGGGTGGAACAAGATGRACTTCAAGGTCCTYCCAACCCAACTATTCCATGATTCTATGAAAGTTGGTCTTGTGAAATGCCCCTCCTTCCAAGAGCCCAATTAGAAGCACAATCCACAGCATTTACCTGTGGTTTGAGTGTCACCACACTCAGCCACCCGACTCTGGTTGATGTACACCTCTCCRTCCCTCAGGAGCCAAACCACCCCACTCACAAGCTGCACAAATGGGTTTGATTGATCCAGGACATCTTCCTCAGACAGGTATCTAGGAAAGAGAGAGTAGCAGGGGTTATCCACAGTCACAGCACGTTATGTAAAAGCCTCTCCCGCTGCCAGCAGGCTCCAGAAGCAGGGGAAGGGGAGAAGAAGGTGAAATGAAGAAGACAGCTACATCCAAAACCAGGGGCCAAGCAGTGTGAAACATCACTTTAGCAGCCAGAGCAGCCCCTGTTTTCCACTCTTCTGCACCAACCCACAGCTAATGGTGGACCCAGGCCACTGTGCCTGAAACAACTCCTGCCAGAAATGTGCCCAGTGGATCTGGGCCACRGTAACAAGGGCAGAAAGCATCTGGCAGAACACAAGGACAGAGCCACTGCCAAATACTCAGGGATCTGTGGAAGCAGCTGTAACATCTTGCTGCCTGTCAGCTTCTATTCTGCAAAAATGTGACACCAAACAGCTTTGGAGAGCATTTGGAGCTACAGCATTCAGCCTGCCTGCAGCTGCACAGGATGCTACCTGCTCCCTTCCATATGGGAAGGGGGTCTCTCCRCACTTCCAGACAGCAAAAGGGCTGTTCAGCTGCCACTGCCACGCTCGGGTTTCGTGCCCCATCACATACTGCTTCCCAAGGGATACTGCTCTCTGCTGAATGAGGGTGATGAGGAACACCTGCCTCATCAGAGCCTGGTGSTGGGGATGTTTGCAACTGAGAGGACAGGAGCAGGGGCTGGAGCTGGACAGTCATGCTCTGCCAGAGGTTTTGGGTCTAAAAGTGACTTTTCTGTTGTCTTGTGGCAGCTGGATGCTCAACTTTTAGTTTTTTAGTATCTGTGACTGTGGGCAAAAGCTTTGTGCCTTGTAGAAAAGTGTGGAAAACATGCAGAAAGGATTCCCTTTCCCTGTGGGAAGGGAACACGAAGATAACATGAACACGGCTGAAAACAGATCAAACTCCACAACAGCTTGGACAGAGACTGGCAGCTTTCAAAGCCTGGAATTACCCACTGTCAGCCCAGGGAGAGGCATCCTAGGACTTGAGCAAGGGCCACAGATCTCACTGCTCCCTGAGGTACAGGAAGAATGTCTCTAACTATAGCACTCAAAGTGAGGTTCTACTCTAACTGGGGAGGCCAAGGAGACAGTGCTGGGATGAGCTTCCTGCCCAGTGATGCCTAAAGGTCTTCAGGGTGGAGAGCACTCTCCAAACACCCCCCAGYTCTTACCCGAACACCATGGTGCCATCCTTCCGGATACCAAACTGAGCGTTTTGCAGGCCTCCAGAGTTTCTCACCAGCTTCCCATCGCTCACAACATTCCCAAGGCACTCTCCAGTTTCCATGCTAAAGTACCCGCCGTTCTGGGCCACCAGACACTTCCTGAGCTTTGCAGTCTCCTCCACGGGGGCTCTGCGATGAGCCAGGCAGCCGCCGGCGCCGCCCGGCTCCAGCACCGAGAAGGTCCTCAGGGGGTCCCTCACGAAAGTGAAGTGGCCATAGGCCACCTTGCGGTCGCTGCCCTCCGGGGGGATGTACGAGACAAACGTTCTGGTGACAGCCACCGGGCCGGCCGTGCTGTTGTCGCCGGGCCACGCTTCGTGCGTGACGTTGCCGTACTTGCGGGGCTGGCAGTCCCTGACGTGCCGGTGGCCGTGCCGGGGGCCGTGCTGCCAGGGGGGGTAGGGCTGCAGCAGAGGCTCGCTGCGGGGGCTCCTGCAATGACAACAGCCGGTTGCCCCAAGGCCGCAAACGCGGGGTGACGAGAGCGGCACGGATCGGGGAGGGCACGGCCCCGCTGACACCCCGGGCCCGCTTCTCCGCGTCCCCGGAGTGACCCACCGCCTTTCGCAGGCGGCTGTCCCGCTCAGCTMAACCCGCTCCACCAGCCCGACCTCAGCGCGCCGGGAGCCCCGGGACAGGCAGTGCCCAGACACTCACCCGGCGCCGCGGGCCACCTGCAGCGAGCCGAGCACCGCCAGCGCGACCACCAGCACCGTCCCGACCCCCGCTCGCCCCGATCCCCGTCCCGGGGCCGGGCCCACCCTGACCCCCGCCCGGCCTGGACCCCCGCCCGCACACCCCGCTGCCCCACACGCCGCCATCTTGGCCAGCGCTCGGCGGCGGCAGCGGCAGCGCCCTCTGGCGGCTGGCGGGGCCGACCGGGAGACGGGACAG